GAAGTTTAGTAACTTCCGGTCACTGCAACAAGCCCAGGTACAGTTTACCGACGGATGGGTGCAGGACCTTGAAATGCACCGTGTAGAACGAAAGACCATCGTACGTATCATAAGTTTACCAGTCTCACAAATCGTCTTCATAAATACACATTCCTTAACCGTTTATTAATAGGACCTTTGAGCTCAACGGTAATTAATTAGTAGTGGAAATAATTTCTGGTACCCATCACAGAAATGTAGCAGTGACAATAATACTGTATGCTGTAATCGTACTGGGCAATTAGTGATACAAAAAACCTGTTTTATCCTGTGAATAAAAGTATATGTTTTTGTCAATGTACCATAATAACAGAAGCGAAACGCAATATTGTGTCAGGACAATTCACTATTTATGCACAATAAATAAAGGAGCATAGCGCGACAATTTCTGTTCAGCGCCAGACTTGCTTGTAACCTATATCACTAATTATGTTATGAAAATGACGTATTAACTACAACAGCAGACTGACCTTTGTGTAAATGTTTGGAGCAGACTAACCTGTGAGCTGGAGTGTTCTGGGACGTTATATTTGGTCTTTGAATGGCTGCAATCCAGTCGCCTCTTTGTCACTTCGGAAACATGGCTGAACAATTTCTCTTCCACGACGTAATCCGATAACAACCGATCTCTTTACCCATCGGCTTCCCGTGGCTGTCATGCGACCGGCTATTGCAGTTAATAATACAACAGCTTCTTGACATTTTTTGGGTTTCTTATTATCGCTGTGTAACTGAGTTCAATTGAAAGCCTGCGTGCGCTTGTACCTCTTGCCACGAGTTCCCAGAATCCTTTGCGGTTCTACCCGTGAATGACGTCACATTTTCAATCTCTATATAATATGCATGTTAAATTTTATATTTGGGGTAAAATATCAAGTCTTTTCAAGTAAACCGGTTCAAGTCCAATTCAAGTCCCAAGTCATTGGTGTAAAAGTCCAAGTCAAGTCACAAGTCTTAGAACATTTTTTCAAGTCAAGTCTAAAGTCATAAAATTAATGACTCGAGTCCAAGTCATGTGACTCGAGTCCACACCTCTGGTCAGTACACACAAACAAAACAGTGAAGAAGGCGCAGCAGCGCCTCTTCTTTCTCAGGAGACTGAAAAGATTCGGCATGAGCCCCCGCATCCTCAGGACCTTCTATCACTGTGCCATTGAGAGCATCCTCACTGGATGCATCACCACCTGGTATGGCAACAGCACCGCCTACAACTGCAAAGCTCTCCAGCGAGTAGTGCGGTGCTCTGAACGGATAATTGGAGGTGAGCTTCCCTCCCTCCAAGACATCTACAGGAAGCGCTGCCTGAGGAAAGCGGGGAGGATCATCAAGGACTCCAGTCACCCCAGCCATAAACTGTTCAGACTGCTTCCATCAGGAAGGAGGTTCTGCAGCATCCGGTCCCGTACCAGCAGACTGAGAGACAGCTTTTTCCACCAGGCCATCAGACTGCTGAACACGTCATAGACACCTCAGCTTCACTACTGGAACTTTAACATTATGCACTCCATACTGTACAGTAATGCCACTGTTTTGCACATGTCTCAACTCTGTATATTTTTATATATTTTATTGTTTACTCTATTTAATTTGTAAAATATGTAGACACACACACACACACACACACACACACACACACACGCAGAAAAACATATTTAGTATACACATCCAGAAATGCATATACTATTATATATTGTACATACATTTATTAGTTTCAGATGTAGCCATTCTTATATTTTGCTTGTTTACATTATTGTATTTTGCACAACTCTGTTGCTTGTGAAGCTCGCACACAAGAATTTCACTCACATGTGCTGTACCAATGTACCTGCACATGTGATGTGACAATAAAAGTGATTTGATTTGATTTGATTTGATTTTGAACCGTGGCCAACAAAGGGACCACAGAATGGCCAGTGCCACAGCAGGATTTGCAGTTTCAAAAGCTGAATAGTTTATTTTCATTTTGGGTAGAAAACATCTGAGTGGGCGCAGCCAAAACAGCTCTATTCTCCTAATTTAAGTCCCAATTTAAAGCTGTCCCATTCAGTCTCCAACCAATGGTCAGCTTCCATCTGCAAAAAACGGCAGGAGAAATGAAGACCATCCCCTCAGGCTGTGGAGGAACTAATACAACACACAACATTATGACCTGGGTCATATCTGTTAGTGTTAGCAACAAACACATAGCAACCTCTTACCTGAGGACTTGCCTTGTGTGTCACACTTGTGTACTTTCTCTCCTCTCATGAGACCTCCAGATCACTTAGCATTAAATTGTAGTTTTAAAAGGAAAACAGGAAGCTGCAAACGCAAAGTGTCCAAAGACTGTTTCTAATACCCAGAATGCGTTAACATCTGTAACATCTGTCTTAATCAGAAAACAGTAATGCCCCCATCCAAAATTCAGATCAACATATCTAATGTGGGATGTTGTCATATACCATAGTGCTGCTACATCAGTGCTTCCAGCGACTGCACCTCTGACAGCTTTGTGGAAATCAGTGCAAATGACTAATCGCTCTATCCCCGAGGTCGCCAACAACCCAGATCTTATCATCATTAACAACCATTAACCAAGCTTCCACATTTATTTCAACATGATGTTTTTGATACTTTTCGACATTAAATCCAAGAGTTTCACATGGAAAATTCTCAAATCCTGGAATACTTGTAATTAAAGTCATTATTACTGTTCTAACTGAAGATAACTCCTATTAAATGACATTTTTCTGTCACAGTCTGTGGGTCTGATGCCACTGTGGAGCCAGCTGATCAGGGTCTGAGGTGTTGGAAGTCACCCATTCATTTCTTTTATTTTCAGATTGTTAATGAGTACATGGATGTGTGTGTATGCACAGGCACACATATGTATAAATGTAGATATATACATCAAGATAATGTTTGTTACTAGAGATTTTCCATTATTCTTTTTTATGCCTTTTGACTTCATCCCATTACCCAGCTGTCTGTCCTGTCTTCTTCTTTGTTTGTCTTTATCTTATAACATGTTTCCTTTGTCTAAATAAATACAATAAATGACAGTGCATTTTTTCACATTATAACATAATTTACAACACTCCTTTATGTTCAAAGAGTAGTTTGAGCTAATGATGCAACGAATCTGCAAAATCTGAAAAACTCAAATATAATATAATAAAGACTGAAATTTGCATAATATAGCGCATTAAACCTTTATTTGAATAAAGTACTCAAGTAAATGGATTCATTACATTCTGCCTGGTGTTGGCAAAGCATTGTGGCACCATTTCAAAGGTTACTTGGAAATCAGACTTATGTCAGTTGTTTGTGGTCTCCTTCCTGAAAACACTCCACAGATTCTCTTAAGGTGGACGGTCAGAACATTGACTGCAGCCAGGTGCTGCAAGTCCTACTGGGAAAGGAAATCATCTCCAAAAGCTTGTCAGCAGATGGAAGCATGAAGTTCTCTAAAATATCCTGGACACACACACACACACACACACACACACACACACACACACACACACACACACACACACACCAGCATATGTCATGTCACCCTAAATCATCACAGGGTCTTGAAACGACACCGTGGACTTCAAACTCCTGCAGTTATCTACCTCTCTGCTCACTCACACTCACCCACAGGCTTTCACATGTTCATACAGACCTACCAACAACCAGAGATGTCACTGAACACAATATGCTGTAGTTGCTTATTTGGAAAAGGCTGAGGTCGGTCAGGGCCCCTCTGGGGAAATCAAGTGTAACCACAACGCATGCCACAGGACTATTAAACAACAGCCTAGCTGTTACACACGGTTTTGTCCACTAGATGGTGCTATCTCACAGTGAGAGTTCCCAGCAGCTGGGACTGTTAATGTGATGTGTTTGAGGATGAGAGGCAGAGATTGGCAGGAACATAAGAATTGATGGTGGACGAGGCAAAGTGGTTAAAGATCTGTGCACGATCATGAAGTGTATGCCTTCCTCATGCTTTACACTGAATATTATCCCCAGAAGCCTTACAGTACATGTTTGTTACACGTATGTTCATTAGTTCTATATATGTATGGGGGAAACACCTGACAGAGAGGGGACCCACAGGCTCTGTAATGCTGTGGTTGAGCTCGACCTGCACATACCTGTTCCCATACAAATCTTTATAAATAATTCCAAATCTATCAGCATGTTACACAGTGCTCTCCGTCTCCACTGTCTGAAATGTAATGAAATTTAGCCCAAATATATAATTTTGTTCATGGAAGAATTGTAGACATATATCAGAAATATACATACTGCTGTTGATTTCATCACTTAGAAAGAAACGTGTTTGTAAGTTTCAATGGAAGTGACCATTCAAACAGAAGACAGGGTGTGAAATATAACTGATGAAGATGGAGGGTGAGGCAGACGATGCGTGCAGCAAGAGTCTGACACATGCAGCAGAGACACATACGGTGTCTTTATGCTGGAAAGTTGCTTCTCCTGTCAGTGACAGCCAGGCACAATGCAACGATGTGTCGTTGGTAAACACGCGATTGCCTGGATAAATGCTCAGACTGGCCATTAAGGCTAGAAATGGTCCACAGTGGTCACCGCTGGCTCATTGCTGCTTTTACTGCTGTGGCTCTGGAGGTCCAGCGGGTGGCCCATTACTTCGACCCCTCGCTCTGCGTGTTTGTGAACAGTGCACGCCTCCTCCTGCGTGCTCCATGTATATAATGTAAAATGCAGCATATATGTTTAGAACTACTGCATCACCATCGCACTGCTATTTGGAAAATAGTGAAAATGTGATTTTTGATTTATAGATCACGCCGTGTTAATTTCAATCATTTGAACGCGCAGACGAACCCGTTAATAAAGGTCAATGAACTGAACTGGAGAGACAGAGGGAGGGAGGGAGGGGACGTACGGGGAGAGGGAGGGAGGCAGAGAGACCCTGGCGGACAGAAGCAGAGAGGGAGGTTGGACCGGGAACAATAGAGAGAAACGAAGCCTACCCTGAACACCAAACAAACCGAGAGGGCGACAAAAAGAAAGCAAACCACATCGGGTGATGGAGGGAGAGCGAGCTAAGCGAAGGACATGTGAGGAATAAAGACGCGAGGATCTTTCCCGAGCGGTGGGCTTTATTCCCGTCTTTCTTTGTCACTGGATAGTAAAACGGATTCCGGTATGAACCCAGCAGAAGCGGCCGAGGAGGCGCCCAGCGACCCCGACACTGATGCCTTCTACAAAACAGGTAGGAATCGGAGCTGATCTCTCCAAATCTAAGACAAAAGCATCACACCCGAGATCAATTTGAGCCAGAGCCGCCCGAGCAAGCGCACGAAAGCAAGAGAGCGAGAGCAGAAATGTGCAGAAAATCAGCTGGAAGCTGCACTAGCAGATGGGAGGCAGCTGCAAACATTCTGCTTCAAATAAGCAGAAACGTTGCGCTGTTTGAGGCTTTTACGCGGATCTACAGTGTCGTGTTGATTTCCGTGCGTGTGTTAGCTGATGCTGTGGGTCTACAAAAGAAGGAAGAATCATGGTGGGATCACATCAGATCAGCAGCTGAAAGGCTCAGGAAAAAATGTCCAGCTTGTGGGAGAAGACTGTGTGTTTGTGCTGATACATGGACAGAAGGCACAAGATGACTGAGTCCAAATAACTGGTCTGCAAGCACATGCTGTCATCATGGAGACAGCTCATTACGGTGTCATTACATTATACTTCCAAAGCGTTTTAAGATCATTACAAAAGCAGACAGCAGATCATTTCTGGTATCTTTTATGACGCTAAAGGCTGAAGCAGATATTAGCAGAGCGCCATGGCCACCTCTGATTATTACATAGTGGATCCTGATCCTGATCTCTGCTCAGCTTTGACAAGATCTCCAACACCACTGGCTGAACTGCAGCTCCAAGCCCTCCACCATGTTTTACAGTTAGTTGTTAGACACTTGCTGTTGTACGCCGAACACGCTGGATTTAAACCTTCATGAGATCTGCTGCCGTGGCAGTCTTTTCTTCTTGTTTCTTTTCCTAAAGAATGACTTGTTGACGGAGGCTGCGTTTGTTACCTGTTAAAGTTCAGGTGCTGGTTGCTGGGTTTGGGCCATTAACTCAGCTTTCATCACTCTGAATTTCTTGGCTAGCTTTGCATGAACTCAGTTTTATACCAAACAAATCACAACAAGGCGCTTAGCATGCTGTTTGTGGAGAATCTCACAAAGAGCTGAACTTCTGTTAGCAGTATGATGCAGTTGTTTCCATCCTGGATGCAGATTGCATTTACTATAGTGCTCCTGTCCTTTAATGCAATAGAAATCCAACCAATGCTCATGTCTGCTCCTGAAAAGCTGTATCGCTCCACAGTTTTCCTTCTCCTGCACCTGGACTAAATTCAGCTGATTGTTTTAGAAGTGCACAGGAAGGAAACAACCATTATTGTTTCCTTTTTTATCTGCCTGGTGTGCAGTTTGTGCTTGTCAAACTGGGTTATCTTTGGAATATTTTATAGATTCAATTAAAGAAATGGGAATCAATTATGGGATTTTTGTGAGCGACTGTCCGAAGAAAACGTTTGAAAGACATCCATAAAGCCCGGACAATAATTGCTCCAGACCACTTTATAAAATGAAAGTCTTGGAAGTAAACTGAGGGCTGGCTGAGACTTTTGCACAGTACTGTGTGGCTTCAGGTGTGTGACACAGTTTCCCACACTGGGATGTGACACATGCTGGGGTGCACTCAATGAACACCAGTTTTGGTACCAAGAGAACAAGTCATGTAAAGATGCCAGCTGTGCGGCAACACTGGCCTTATTTACAGAGACAACACGTATGTCAGAGCGCTCGTTTACAGTTCAGCATGCCAACGAAACTCCTGGCTGACCCCCTCCATACATCACTGGATATTAGATTTTCTCACCATCTGCCCTCAGACTGTCAGGCTGAGCAAGTACATATCCTCCATCCTCCCTCTGAGCACCGGAGCCCCCAGAGGCATAGTGCTGTGCCGCTTTCTGTATTATCCATAGTCATCATAGCCACGGAGGACACCGCTGTACAGCACGACATGTCATTTCTCACATGGCGACACAAGAGGCTGATGTAAAAATCTAAAAGCACTAAAACAGTTTATTGTGTAATTTAGGAGTTTGGGACTCTGGATGCTTGAACGCTGACAAACTGAGTAGCTGCTGTTTCTGATGCCCTGGTGTTTTGTCAGTGTTGGATTCAAATCCCTGTTTCTATAATACAGCATGTTGTGTTGTGAAGTGTAAACGGTCACAGGCAGAGCCAGAACAACCTTCTTCTTCGTGATGTTGAGGCTCTCTCGCTGATCCTTATTGGCTCGTTTCTGGAATAGTTTGGGAAAAATTAAAAAATGGGTTTCTCAGTTTAACTTCTCAACAAAGTTAAAACTGCTTAGATACTCATTTAGCTTTTACTATTTAAACATCAGAGCGTAGTCATCCTTTCTTTTGTGAGCAATAAAAAACAAGTATTTGGGCTAAACTGCATCTCTGTGTCTGAACAGTTGTGAAGATCCTTGTCCTGTAGGTGTTAGACTGTTAGACTGACAAGGACGAAATCAGAGATGGCGCTGTTCCACTTCATTTCTAAATCCAGTTCCACTTCTTATTCTACCAGTAAACTGCTCGTACATCATGTTTCTGTCTCTAAAAAACAAGAAATTATCCTTTAAACCTGGCGCGTGTCTAAAATGTCCTTTGCATCCATGATGGCTTCGTGTTGGGGGCTGGATTCAGTCTGCTGTCAGACATGTGAGCCTCACGGTGATTCTACAGCTTTTCTTTGTTTAGTTTATTGAATGAGGGAACAGTATGAAACAAACCCTCAATAAATTCTGTTTTTATGTATCAAGACTTAATAAAATCACCTGACACGACCAGTTCTTACAACAAGTGACATATTACATCCTGCTGTTATTGAACAAAAATAGAAACAAAAATAAAAGTTTACTAAGAGGGTGTGCAACAGCTGCCCATCAGTCAGGGAGGGCTCGTGCGGTCGCTTCCAAACCACTCCACAGTGAGAATGATTATCCACCAGTGGGAAAGTTCAACACAGTTTCCAGTCATATTACAAACAGTGTAAGTGCTTGTGTTGTTATAAAGATTAGAAGTGCGGCTGCACTGATGTGATGTGAGGCTTTGCTGCATCTGCACTCGTCCATCCGTTCCCGACAGTGTAACGGTTACACGCACACCTCAGGGTTGCAGGGCGGCTGGAGCCTGTCGTACGCAGGCTGAGCTGCAGGGCGCACAGCTTGTCACAGGGATAACTGCAACAGCACAAACACGACTGCTTTGTTTGCAAACATTAATACTGACGTCAGATTACACATTCATCTGCTCTCACGTTAACATCATTCAGTTAAAGACCAAATATAAGGTCTGATATTACCACCGAAGCACCATTGGGTATTTCTGTTTCTATACATTGTATAATAATAATTGTAATATAATTGTACTATTATGTGTCACGAACCACACAGGAAATATAATTATGGAGATAATTAGTCCAGTTAGCAACTCTTCCTATTTAGAGATCATCAAAATTATTAGCAAAATGTGAAAAGTGGCTCATTTCTGTTACTTATTGACAGTTTTATTATTTTTCCTTTGGGACGGAAACAAAACAGGGAGGAGAAAATGGAGCATGTCATAGTAGCAACCTAGGCTGAACTCATATCTCTACACATCACTGTACACGCTGCTAATAACAAAATAATGTACTTTAATAAAATACTCATGACTGTTTTGACCGTTCACAGGTTTTAAATGTGATTTTTAACTTTAGTCTTTTCTTGTATCTGGTTGGAAAAAGCATTTCGCTGCCGGTTGTACTGTGTGTGTCTGTGTTTGTGACAAAGATGAGTTCTCAAGGAATGAAGCCATTTTTCCATGAAGCATGTGTACTAGTACATATGAAGCTAAATACATCCTCTAAGAGAACATTGTCCCGGAGTCTTTGTAGTTTTGTAAATGACCAAAGCAGGTGAGAGCGCCTGACGTCCGCCCACGCCGTCTCTACCTGTGCCGGGTCGTAGCTAATAGTTTTCCCGTGCAGTGTAATAAGGAGGCAGATTAGGTGATTCTGTCCATCATTTGTAATGATCTGATGATTGCTGTGTCTCCTACGTGCCAATCACTCTGACTCTCTTTGGGGTCTCACAGGTTTTAATCTTGTGTGAGGTTGAGCCTTTCCCAAATGTAGTTTCTTATCGTTCCATCTAGTCGTATACTCTGGAGAGCATCAGCAGGCCACGTGTCTCATTTAGGCAGAATAATAATAAACTGTGAAATTAGGCAAAGCTAACCCACTGTGTGTTAAATGTGACCCCAGGTCTGCCTCCTGCCCAAAGGAACCGAGACATCATCTCCTCCCTGTAAACAATGACAGAGTTCCTGCTTATTTCTGTTTACTCACTTGAAGTTTATTTCAGTTCAGTTTTTGGGTGATTAGGATACCCGGCCATCGTATTGATTTAGATTCACTTCACTGGTCTGATAACCTTGTAGGGTGTAAAGTTAATGGGCAGAACTGGGATTCTGGAGCTCTTCTTTCCTCATAATGAGGCAATAATAATAATCGGTCCTTTGTTTTGTTTCTATCCTATCGATGGGAGGTCTGATGGACGTAACAAGTGTTTAATGCTGTCTTCATAATGTTTCAGAATAATCTTTGAAGGTTTATTCGACTTCCTGTGGTTCATGGATTAAATAAAGCATCTCTAATCTTACTTGTTGGTCTGCGTTGGGATCTTGATCAGATTTCTAGGTTTGTTTTGCAAATCTCAGTTTCAAAATCCAGTATTTGTTTTAAATTTCTCTTTTTTTTCGTGACTTTGCTTAATGTTTTCACCAGCTTGTCATATTTTGCTCTCCTCACCTTCCTGTGTAGGCTCTTTTCTCTTAGTGGCTTTGTCTGTATCCCACACAAGACTTGGACATATTGTCCATTTCACTCTCCCTAATGCCACCTTTGATTTCCTTTATAGCTAATTTGTTGTTTCGGATACTAATATTAGGCCTCCTTTATTTATGTTATTCGGATGAATCGTTACATAAACGAGCGGCCCTTTACTCTGAGTGAACTCAGTTAAGTAACAAGTGGAGTTTTTTTCTAAAGCATGCCTCCAAAATGAAACATGCTCGTCAATGAAGGACCAAGATTGTCTGTCACTTTCTGACAGCTGTGACGAGCCTATGCAAGCTGTCGACAGTCCT